CCAGGAACCTTTGGATGCTTGCAAGGCGGGTGATGGCACTGTATGAGATGAGTGCTGTGGTGCTGCCTTGAGTGTGGTGCAACATTTTCTGGGCGCAGAATGTTGTCAACCTAGCGTGATAAACACCAGCTTTTTGTAGGGTGTGCTGCCGAACCTGTTTGATGTTGTGTTTGACGGAGGCATTTGCGTGATTCTGTGTGTACTTCAGCGAATCGATGAACAGTGTGGTGCTGTTGGACAGTTTTCTGTGCTGTAGGACGTTGTCGGTCAAATGTGCTGGCGGAGCGGGGTTAGTTGATGGAGTGGATTAAAACATTGCACGAAGAACGGGTTGAAACAAGTAGACAGACATCACAAATCCAGGGTGCATCGGAACAGCCAACAGGACGTTGTTTGTGAGCCAGCGTAGGCGTTGAACGTGTGCGTAATGGCAGTTTAAACATGATGAAACCAGGAATTTGCGACTGGTTGACATTGGGACGGTGGACATAAAACAAGTAAAAACGACAGTGCAGAACTTACCAGTCGGTCACGTCGTGGTCACCATTTATAGGAGTACTATTTGATGTTGTTCCTATATTTAATTTTGCTTTTGTTGTTGCGAATGCTGTCGTTTTTATGTCTGATTTAACGTGCAGAAAACATGGAGCCAGCAAGAGACGATATCGCGTGACCCTTGTGTCTTGATAAATTTACTGACTGACTACAATTTTGGGTGTATACACATACAACGAGAGACGATACAAATGTGTTGTTTATTAGGTTACATGGATACAAAGACAATGGAAAGTGTTAATGACAGAGACACAATGGAGACATGATTACGTTTAGACAATGGTCACCTCAACAATGTCAACAATTGATGGGTGAAAATTGCTGAGCCAAGGTTCATGGCAAGCCGCTGAGGGCAGACTGGTGTTTGAGACAAGGAGGGAGCCTGCAAACCCTGGAGAAAGGTGGGTGCTGTGGCAGGATGGGCATTCAACCCACCCTCCGCAGACATCACAGACATACCTGAAAGATGGCAATCATTTGTAGTTCGAGTGCTAGAGGTGGCGGAATTAGACCAGCCCATCGAATTAGATTGATCTCAAATGAGGGAAACCAATTCTCTTACTGTATCGTCAAGCCTTCGATATCAATCAGAAAGTTCTTGAGGGGAGAATGTTTTGGAGTCTGCATTATTAACTGGTGTGGACAGTGAGTTAGCCATAACCAGTAATGCCACCAGCAGCTTGCTAGGTAATTACAGGCAATAAACCACCTAATATTGAAAGATAAGGGTAAATACAACAAGTTTATAAATATTAGTTTGTGACTGAAAAAAACCATAAACCATATAATAAGCATTCGGAAGTCTTATGGGGACTATTTCAAAAAGTATTTAAAAATTATCTTGAAAGTCATAATACTTTCAAAATTTCCTGAAATTTACTTTGTTAAACAATGTTTACAAACCAAACTTCATTTTAATGCTTTACTTATTTTGTGTTAAATTTTCTGTTGAATATGGAATTTAAAATCAGGCATCAAGATTGAGTTTATTCCAAGTTAGGGTTCATAAAAAGGTAGAGACTTGTAAAAGGTGGAAGGCATTCCTAAGAATCATGGTATATAATGAAATAAAAAATTCGGTCAAGTTTGGAACCTCTTTTGTTTTTTTTACATTCAGCCTTGGTCATTCTTGTTCAATCTGGCACCTGGTGGAATTTTTTATCTACAATAATAATGTAAGAGGTCATCCTGTATTTGAAATCCTCTGTCTGGCATTATTTTATCCCCAAATTCTAAAAGTTTGAAAAAACCACTGTCCTGGCAAATGAACTTATCAGAAGCTCTCCAACTATATGCTTTTGACAAAAACATTATGAAGCCACCAGGAGCAATGGCCACCAAGACCTTGATTGTATGATGCTTTTTGTAGTCTGACCATGTCTTTGCCTGGTTGTCAAGGGATTTTGGCCTTTCAATATAGATTTCAGTGCAATCAATAATGCATCTGACTCTACTGTATGTTCTTTCAAATGACTTTGGCAAGTTGCTTCTTATCACATCTCTTGATAACCACGCTATTTATGGTTTCCTAAGAATCATGCTCAAAAACTTGATCCAACTTGTAAAAATCACAGAGCAAGTACTGGAAGAGACTCCAAAACGACAAGCTAGATCCTCATTTAACAATCCTATACGAAGTTTCATGAGGACTAGAAGAAACTGATCCTTTTTGGAAATCCTTTGAAACTTGTTCCTCTTCAAATGTTTTGGCTTTGCTTTGCCCGACATAACCTGTTTTGCTCCTTTCCAATATATAAAAATTCAATAGAAATAAGCAAGTATTTTCTAAAAGGGGCATTTTCCCCGCATTCAATAGGGCGTGTCCTCAAAACACCCATTTCAGCCCTTCCACTTTTAGAGTGGTGCACGGTCCCTGCACATGCTTCGGAAGATATTGCATTGACAATGGCTGACAAGAAGCAGCTGCACGGGAAACGGCAATTCACATTGTCACCCAGACGAGAAATTTGAAAACAGCTAAGTTCATTATTCCAGAAGACACCAACATTATCAGACGCGAGTGGGAAGATTGGCTTGACGACATAGAAACAGAATGTCGTTACTTTAAAATAGCTGACCCAATTGATAAGAAAGACGCTTCAATCATTTATGTGGGAAAAGTAGCCTGCACGCAGCCTCAGACACTTCTATCCCTAAGAGTAGAGTCTGTGAATTAAAGTCAAAAGGCTTGTTCCCTGAGTCAGCAAAATCATGACCTCATTTCCAAAAAAATTAACCGCATTGATCGGGCGCAGTTAAATTTATTCTTCAATTTCACGAGGCATTCAAACAGTATCCTATCTTGTCAATGATGTCTTGCATTCTTTGCTTTAAAACACTATCCAAAACGGATAATTGTCGTGATTTTAATTTGGTGGTTGGCCCTAAGAGTAAGTTCAATGTTGCAAACGCGTTGCAGGAGCTTGATGTTGTTGTCGAATTTAGGCCGGAATCGCGGTACATTTGTCGTGAGTGTCTCAGGTTGCTGCAGAAGTTAGATTCTGCACGGAAAAAGGTAAACGTTCTAGCGGATCAAGCAGCAAAACATTATATCGATGGTGCTAATCGCTGCGGCTTTCCTGTCAAATCTAGAATGACAAAAAGAGCCTTGTTTTCTAACAGCAAGATTCAAAAACCTAGTCTCACGGCAGTGGCGACATTACAAGCAGAAAGTCCTGATGGTACAATTGCGGGGCCTGTCTCTGTGAACCACGACATCTGTACAAGTCCATCTATAGCAGTCACCAGCACTCCTGTCGGAGCAAAGCGTCCAGCCGTGGAAGGTCTTGCACAGCATTTTGAGTCAAAGTCACTCTTGCCGGTTGTTGTGGCGTTGACAACTGATTGTAAAACATTCCACCAGGCAAGGAAGATGTAACCACTATGTTAGTCAAAGTTTGCTGGAAGTCAAAAACAAGAGAGAAGAATCTGCCAAAAGATCTGATCTCAGTGGGTGCGATGCTTTGTCGTGGCACTTACAAGCAGCTGGCATATGCTGTTTGGAAGCATCTTAGCTTACGTGCTCACATCATTGAAGCCTTTTGCAAAGAAGTGGACAAAGAGTGTGTGCAGTACTGTCTCCCTACCAAAGAAAAGCCTGGAGATTCAATCCGTTCTTCAAGAATCTTGAGAAAAAGTCCTTCTAAGCTGAGAGAATCCTTCTAAGAAAGAGCCGATGGAATCTACACAGCAAGAAACTGCTTGCGTCTCACTGGCAAAGACGACATGCTTGGTTTCACGTTTGACAAACTAGATAAAGAACTGAAGCAACAAATGCCTTTATCTAGGTCTGTCCTGATGACCATGTGTTGACGGAGCTCAAAAAGAAAGGAGGATGACTTGTTTTTCACCCCAGCCGTAGGCATGGCAGCAGCAGTATGTCTCAAAAATAGATCCAAGCGGATGACTGCAGTCCAGTTGATCATTTCCATGATGATGCAACATTCTGGCTTAATGATGAGTAATTCGTTTTTTTTAACTCAAGGGAGAAAGTATAACAAATCTATAGACAGTAAAATTAAAAGCTGTTGCCTATAAATGTATATATATATATTTATTGTCAGTTGCTCTGAAGATGGCCAGATAGAGGCCAAATCTAGTCACAACTGAAACAAAAGCGCAAAATGATCTATCTAGTTGGTTACCGTTAGCAAACAAAATTTAGATAAAAAGAAAAGTTAACAATTTTGAAGAATATTCACCTTGCACTTAAATAGTAAAATTTCGAAACAATTAACCTTTCCCACATGTTACACTGTCATTTCCTTATCTTTCAATTACATCTGTTATCCATTATATCCAATTGTTTAATTTTTTTAATTCTAACTACTCAGTATAATATTGTTTTGTGTTGCTTGTCATATATGTGCTGTAGGTCACTGGGGTGTTTTATTACTGATGTTTATAGTTGTTTTATTGTTTCCATTACTTGATTGTTACTTGCATACATTTATAATACACTTTTTTCCTGAATAGGCATCTTTGTTGCGGCTGAGTGCACTAAGGCTGGCTGTTTCTCACACATTCTTGTACAAGAAATTGGATGAGTATGGAAGGGATCATTTGCGATTTCAAAGGAGGGGGAAATGGTAAAAAATTCAATAAGCAGTTCCTACTCTGGACGTAAACTGATCATTGACAATTTCAACTTCAGCTCTGAACCTCACCAAATGACAGCAGAGAATCAAAAGAAAGTTGTGAATTGGGTAGGGCTCATGATTACAGAGAACCGGATTTTGGGAGATGGTTTGCACTCACAAAAGCCTTCAATAAAAAATCTGGCCAAGTTAGAGAATGATCTTTGTATACCAAGCAGTATGGAGCACAATCAGCAACGCTTGAATTACATAGCACTTTGTGGTCGTTTGGCTGTGGAGAATATAAAATGTTTGAAACAATTGGAAAAGGTTGCAAATAACCACATAGCGCATCAATTTTCCTCAAAAATGGCCATGCCAACTAGTTCTGTAAGTATTCATTTTTTTGTGAATCATTTTATTTTCACTTCAGTTGGTTAAATCATAAGTGATGTACAGAGGTGCACCACCACAGCTGGTAGATATTTAAGATTTAAAAAATTAAAGTACATAGATATATTTTTTGAGCTTATATTCAATATTTTAATACAAATTTATTGAGGGAGCTCATTATTTATTTATTTATATTTACATGATTCAGTAGTTTTATAGTATCATTACAGCTTTTCAACAAATTGTTTTAATCATTGTAAGAAAGTTTTTTGCTATTCATCTAGAAACCATCAAGATTTATTTTTGCTTAAATGATAAAATCGAGTTCTGTTGAGAAATTTTTAACTACAGTCTTTTCAAATAATGTGCAGTGTTGTGTTTTAGATGTAACTTGATGTAATAAAATGCAAACAACACATTCCCTCTCTTTGTTCCAAGGTGTTTGCTGAGATGATTTATGAAGATGAAAATGATACAAGTGGAATGCAGAAGGTCATGACTAAGCTGCATGACTATGCTCCATGCAATGACAGTACAAATCCAACAGAGTTTGTAGAGCAAGGTGTTGTTGGGGACCAGCTTACTGTTGAACGTGGTGTTAGTTGCCTTTTGCAGCTTGCAAATGGTTTCACACAAAAGGAAAGACTTGATGGGTTGCACCTTGAAGTTGCTGACTTCCATGCTGGGATGAAATTTTTACAGGTATGTATTGATCATACAGCCCTAATTCTAGAGGAATGAATTATTTTTGGGAGACCAATTACTCAGGATATTCTATTTATGCAGATAATGCAGATTAAATTTAAAGCCAATCTTCAGAGTATTAATGCCGAAAGTTAGGAGATTGTATTTCATTTGTCTTTTGCACTTCATTTTTATCAAGAGCACATTTTCATCTCATATGATATGTTGATTTCAGGAATCAACTTCTGAGACTTTTAATAAACATATGTTTGAAAATGTGTTGAAAATCTCTACTTTTTGGGGGTATCTTTATGCTCATGGAGTGTTTTTCCAGGTTGCATTTGACCATATATATTCTCCAAAGTCAAGCTCAGACAAATGTACCATGTTTGCAGACAAAGTGTTTATCAACAGACGCAATGTCAGAACTGATGTAAGCCAGAAGGTAGAAGGTTGCAAACAGTTCTTCAATTTGGAAGTCACTGCACGTGTTCTTACTGCTTATTGCAAGATACTTGGAATCAAGGATGTTGATGATGAATCTGATCAAAATACAGTTCTTGATAATGTATCAATGATGAGCATCAAAGAAAAGAAAGAGTTGTTAGACAGCCTGTCAGCCAAAGTTGTAGATAATTTCATCATCAGAAAGAAGCGCAATGCAAGCATTGTTAATCAACAAATATATGAAGACTGGTTACTGGCAAAAAATGTGAAAGATGATGATGGAATGTATCTATGCAGACAACATGGCTGCTTACAAACCTTCAAATTTGATGGGAAAACAAGAATTGAAGACGAAAAGATGCATGGACTCCACAAAGAAGCTCCTAATACATCTGTCATTGTTAAGGATGATTCAATTATCAATGTGCCTTGCTCGATATTGGCATGGTGATCATGAATTTTTTTGATGCTGTCTCCGAGGGTGATGGACTACGAGTTGTTCGATGTTGGAAGTTCATGCTACTTTATATGAAACAAGATGGTGCCCGCAGCAGGAAATATGCACTTGAGGGTCTCTACTTGTTGTTCCAGGTTTATGCTATCCTATCGGAAAGAGATGCCCATTCTTTGATTTGGAACAGGTTCAGCAAGAGTAGACATGGTCGTGGAGGAAACATATCCAGGGATCTAGCTATGGAGCACTATTTACGAACTTCGTAGACACGTAGGGTTCTCGTCCCTTAATTCTACGTGTTAGATACACCCACAAGGGCTCAAAGAAAATACGAGAGATATTTATCTAATAATTGAAGAGGACTGTATATATATTCAAAAACAACGAGAATCTTATAATCTAACAAAACTAACAAACAAAATAAGCAACGAATAATTAATGTAAGCGTCCAAGAATGTAAGAGAATCTTTATTCCGAATTTCTTTGAATATCAAGATTCCATGAATAAACTGAAAGATTTCACCTGGTTTTGTGTCCTTGTACGGGAAACCTTTATCTTGAGAGTTCCTCGAGAGTTTCTTCGGTTTCAAGAGCGATTTCTTAGAGTTTCTTCGAAAAGAGCGATTTCTTAGAGTTTCTTCGAAAGGAGCAATGGTTCTTCGAGAGTCGATTTCGAACGCGAGCGAGAGTTCATTCCTTTTTCTTACTAGGTGTTGACACCTACTTCCACCTTCCACAACAAAACAAAAAGCCCAGAAGAAAACAAACGACACTTTAAAAAATAAACAAAAGAAACAAAACGAGGTTGGGGGACATTTCCGCACACACTACAACAACTTGTTGAAGAGTGTTATCAGGAACCTTGGGCCAAATGCAACAAACACAAGGGCTGTTGACAGATTCTGCAAGGCACTCACAGTGAACAAGAAGATGTTGGAGAACTTTGACTACAGCTGCAATGTTCTACGAAGATCTGGAAAGCACATCAAAGCTAACATTTCAGGAGACTTGAAGAAAATAGTTGGGGAATTGATAAAGAATTGTGCATTTCAGGTCATTCCTGGAAGAAAGTATAGCTCACATGCAGGTGTGAAGCCAAGCTTACTAGAAGATTTTGACATCCATGCAATGTACAAGTGGATACAGGATCACAAAAGTCTTGTAAAATTGAACAAAGCTGGTCGCTGAGTTATGTTCTTTCAATATTTTCCATTTTGAAGTCACTTTCCAAATGACAATGAAACTGGACTGGAAAGTATGTTTGTTCTTGCTAAGAAGGAATTTTCCCTTGCTGATATTCAGGAAAATTTTGTTCAAGGGCTGTTTTGTTGAAAACAGGGGTCCAGGGATTTTTGCAGCTGTGTAGCTATCTCTTTCACTTTTTTCAGTTCTCTATCTCTGTGTTCTGTTGTAATTTCTTATGTGTTGTTTGGTGTTTGTCTTTGCTTATCAAATTTACTGTAAAACTGTGAAAGTAAAAGTGTCACCAAAAGTGAAAGTAAAGTTACTGTAAAAGTTTCATCCATGGTGGGGAGCAGATGACCTTGAGCCTTCCCCACATTTACTTTTATTAAAAATTAGGTTTTGTTGTTATAGAAAAACAGTGTTGACTAAAACAGCTTTGGCTACAGGTTGATGTATAAAATTAACTTCGCAAATATAAATCTAAATATTTAACTATAGATAACAAACATGGAGGCATTTGGAAATGGGAGGAGTGTATATGGTGCCATTGTAGAGAAGGCTATCAAAAAGTTGTCGTGATAAAAAAGGATATCAAAAGTTTTATAGCACAATTTTGTTAATGAGGGAGCAAAAGATCTCATTTATTTGAAAGGATTGCAAGTATTGGTATTTGCTTGACATATAGGCCTTTCGTTTTCTGTCCTTCTTCAAATAACTTTTGTTTTGAAGGTATAATATAAGTTATCAGTTGAGTCCATGTTCATGGAAGATAAATGTATTGATTTGCAGTTACTTAATGCTTGGAATATATGTTGAAGCAGGACTACACCTCTGCTTCTTTCTGCACATCTGATTTTGTGAATAGTAATTGAAATTATGTCTCATAACTATTTTTTGTTTTCTGGTTCACAAATTTCTAGAGGGGAATTCAAGTTTTGCATGAAACTGGGGATGGGGGTGGCTGGGTGGGTGGCTGAAATTGTTAACAAAAAGAAGATCTGAATTAGTACAATAGCACATGAGATATCCCTTTTTTGCAAGTTTTACGTTTGTAAAAGCATTTCAAATATTTTAAGACAGATTTTCAGAGCCCAGGAAAATTGGAAACATTCCACTGAAAAACTTTTGCTGATGGCAAACCATTCTCACTTAACAATAGAACATGGATTTGACTTGTATGTATCCCTAGAGCTGTCTATTTTTAGCCCTCCTCCATTCAGTGACTGTATGATTCCAATGTTTTCCTGACTTTGATTTTATGTAGTTCACATAGAAGTTGTGTTAGAATTAAGCTAATTGATGTGTGTGAGACATTGCACATTGTATGTTTTCTTGTATTTTATTTAAAGTCCTGCAGTCTAAACAAAACAAATATTTGCAGGATTTTTATATTGCCTTATGCACATGCAAGGAAAATCCCAACATCCGGCATATTACTCTTGGCAGGGTCAGGCCCATGAATGTCCTAGTACTCATTCCCAAACTCGCAAGTCTGCAACTAATATTGCAATATAAGGAACAAAAGGAATTGAAAAAATAATAATTACACGATCTGTGATAAAATTTTCACTAAATACAGTATCTTTTTTTCAAATACATTTCTAAACTTTGAATGTTCACTTCTATCTTCAACTTAGCATTAGTTCCATAGGTATCAATATGTGATAAAGATTAAACAAATACTAGAAGTTTGTCAACCTTTAATACCTGGAACAACTGAAACTTGATCTGAAACATAACAATTATGTGCTCTCAAATAGTAAAGAGAACAATTTAACATATCTGAGTTGTGCTGTTTCAACTTCTTAGAAATTATTGTTTCCAAATGACCATAGTTGCAAGGCATGGAAAGGTTAACATTCTTACAAAGGTTTCTGTACAACATCAAGCAGCACACTAAAAGAAGGTGTGTGTGTCAGCATTTACATATCTACAAAGACATTTATACAGCTTATACATAGGGCCTCATAATTATTTGATGTCCCTGACAAAATCAATTATGTCACTTGACTTGTAGATTTGAAACTTACCCTGTTTGCAGCTGAAACTTAATGATAAATCATTAGCTTTAGATAGAATCCTACCTCATTATAAATGATCTCAAAATTGACACTCCCCTGGTTTTAGTCTAATGAACCTGACTTGCATAAGGATTAAATGAAAGAGAGCATGGGTGTAAGACTGATTCCTTCCAATGGATGAGTGTCACTATAAGATTTCTCATGTTTTTTTTTGGTCATTGGAAATTTTTTGGATATTTTCTAGTTTTTTTTAGACGTCACTTATACATCATACTTCCATTGGCTCATCATTTTCATCATAATGAAAGGTTTCACCCCATGGTAATCAATGATAGATCCCAATGAATGATCTTGAGTCCCAGACTGGTCAATTGATTCAATGGCTCTGTCAATTTCACCAACATCCACATCACCAAATGATATAATATCAGAATCATCCCTTATGTCGAGCCAGTGGTCTTCAATTTCATCTTCAAGATGATCGAATGATGTTGCATCAGGGTTCAAATCATCAGGGACTTCCATATCACCAAACGTTTCATTCAATAACTGGAAAATCAGGGATGCATGTTTCATTCGCCATATTTCTATTTTTGATAGGACATCATCAAGATTGAACAGGTGATGGCAGCACTGCATAATCTGATTGATATGGAAATCTGTAAACTCCATCATGACCTTTGGTGTAGATTTTTCTTGATATGTGGTGAACTCTTGTTTGAACACATTCTTTAATGATAGAAGCCTCATCAGCAGATCATCTTTTTGCTGCTGTGTTACTAATCTCACTCTTGTTGGGACTGACAACCTCCTTTTTTGAGAAATGAAGGATTTGTGCAGAGCATGGGATGTTACAAGAACATTTCAAGAGACAAACATCACAGCACAAACAACCAAGAGTAGTAGCTATGGGATGACTGCCAGGGAAAATGCTCTCAATATTCTTTCGCCTACATTTATCACTTGTGACATATTCCTTCATGTCAGACTGACAATGACTTGTTAGAAATTCATTGTACAGTAGATAACAGAAGCTAATCTGTCCATCACGTCCAGCTCTGCCGCATTCTTGAATATATGCCTCAATGCTTTTTGCAGGACCAAAGTGTACAACCCTGTGCACTTGCTTGCAATCGATACCCATTCCAAAGGCTGTTGTCACAACTAAAATTCGAAGATAACTTTTTTCAGCACCAACCTCTTTCAGCAAATGCTCCTTAACAGAAGATGGAGTACCAGCATGAAACATTTCCACCAACCTGCTTCGAAGATTGGAACTGCTATCAGCATACAACATTTCCCCAAGTTTCAGCTGGAATGTCCTCCAAATAAGAGCACACTGGTTTCTTGTTTGACAGAAGATTATAGTCCTCATTGTTTCAACACCCTTTTCTGCCAATTCATCCAGCAACTCTGAAAATAGGACCTCAAACTTGGTGTCATTGCTAACATACTTGCTGAAGAACAACAAGTTATTCTTCATTGGACTCTTTTCAATGACATGCATTGATGAACTTACCAAGTTTAAAACTGAATAGATAGCAGCTTTTGTTGCTCTTGAAGCAGTAGCAGTGAAAACAGCTAGCTTCACTGATTGATCAAGAAATGATCTGATTTCGCCAAGCTGACCATACCACTTTCTAAAGGGAGCTTGTTGGCCAACATTAAGACCCCTAAAAACAAATTAAATTGATTTAAAAAATGATGAAGTGTAGTAATCCAGACATATACTAAATTTGATAAACTATTGGCTTTGATTTTCAATAAAATTTTTGTGTTCATGTTAGCCACAGATTTTACCCAATATTTTATTACAGATAACATTCCAAGGACAACTTCCACCCATGTCTTGAAACTAGTTGTGTTACAAGCATGATAAAAAGATGTTGTTAAACAAAATATCTTGCTAATGAAAACTCACGCTTGGTGATAGACCCTCTTGAAAACAAAATATTGTCCTTGTTTTTTTCAAAGGCAAGTTGTTGCAGGAATTACATTGGGGGTCTGAAATAGAGAAGCCCAATATTTTGGAAATGGATGCCCAGATGGAGATTTAAATATGAGCAAAATTGTACACCTCAGATGGAGGTAAAATATTGCATTTTCTGCAGTGTGTTGTGTTGCTTTCATATGGACTGCCTTTGCCCCATATGTACCAGAGAGATGCACTTTTATAACTCTAAAAAATACAGTTTGACACATACCATTGTGCTATACAATGGGCTTCATCAAATGCAACGCAGACACAATAATCCTTGAATGCAGTGGAGGACAGAAATCGTGGCCATCGACATGTTGCCAACATTGATTCGGGTGACATGAATATTATATTATATACCCCTCCATTTTCAATTTCTAGCAGCACTTCCTCTGACTGATCAGCATAAATGGCAGCCGTATTATTACCCAATGCTCTAAGCTTTGATACTTGGTCGAGCATTAAAGACTGCAGCGGAGTTACAACAAGAATGCAACTTGGTAAAGTGAGCTGGTTCATCAGATAATCATTGACAAATGGTATGACTTGATAAATCAGGGACTTCCCATAACCAGTTGGTGCGCTGAAATACAAATGTTTTCCTAGGAAAAAATGTCGTAAAGCCTCCAGCTGCTCTTCATGCATCGAACTTATCCCAAACATTGTCTTCGCAAACCCTAACCCTTCCTCGAATTTTTCTTTGTTCCAAACAGCAATATCTCTCACAGTAACACTTTTCACGGTCTCCATTTTGAAATCGAGCAAAAACGTGACTTTTTAAAAATGCCGTGCGGATTAGAGCGGTTCGATAAGATAGTCGCGTTATCCAATGGAATCATCTCCCAAAAAATTGGGAGATAGATTTGATTGGTCCTAAAACAATAAAATAACAAGAGGGCTGCTTGACGTTGCGATTGCAAAGGAGGCGGGAACAAGCCTTTTGACTTTAATTCGCAGACTCTACTCTTCGGGATAGAAGTGTCTGAGGCTGGGCGCAGGCTAGGGAAAAGACATTGCAAGGTTGGAGAAGAGTTTACCAGACACAGCGGATGGAAATGTTTATGAAAAGCTGAATATTAAATTGAACAACTACTTTGTGCCAAAACAGTGATTCAAAAGACCATTAATAAGAAATTGAATTTAACGGAATTTCTACAAGAAATTAGCCAACTTAAAGATGTCAACCGACAAGTCCAAAAAATGAAGACATATTATGATGAAGGCACCAGAGTAGTCAAAGTAGGTGCAAAACCAACCACTAGCAGAACAAGAGGCAATAAAATCAATTATCAAAAACAGAATTGACCGCCAGAAACAAAGAACACCAGTTCAAGGCACTTACTAACCAGAGCAAGAGGAAGATTCAAGCAGATGGAAAACTTGCATAACCTAACAACATGAAAATACAGCAAGAAAAAAGACATGTCAAAGTAGCAAAATAAAACACAGAAATGCAGGAGATGTTGAACAAAGTTGAACAATACAATCACGTGTTTGAAGGCATTGGAAAAATCCATGACAAAACCAAATAATCAAGAGATGTATGGAAAGTTCAACATGAGACCAGAAGCTGCACCGATAGCACAGAAGCCAAGACAAGTACCCTACTACTTGCAAGAACCTTTCAAACAATGGCTAGACCAGGGTGTACAAGAAGACCTGCTTGAGAAAGTCCCAGAGAATGAACCCATCACACGGTGTTCACCTGTTGTTGTACAGCCTGAACCAAGCTTCATAAACACTGAAATATAACACCTGCAACTACAAATGATACGTGCCAGTGTAGATTTGCGAGTACCTAACAGTTACATGGAATGTAGCAAAATAAAACAACCACCAATAGTAGAAGACTTTGTACACAAGTTCCATGATTGCACTATATAGTCAAAGCTAGACTTAGGCAAGGATATCACCAGCTTGTACTTGATCTTGAATCCAGAACCATAGCAACCTTCAGCACACCGTTGAGTAATTACAGACCCAAAAGACTGGTATTTGGAGCGAAAGCGTCACAAGACCTTTTCGATGATGCTATGTAGAAGATATTTGGCGACATCCCACGCTGCTTAAACCAAAGGGATGATATACTCTTTGGAGCAAAAGACTGGAAAGAACACAATCAAACACCACAACAAGTTCTTCAGAAGGCCAGTTTACACGATCATATTCTTGTCACATTTGCATCACATATTTTATGTGATCACAGAATGTGATCGTGTAAACGACCTTACAAGTTGCTTGAAGTTGTACGAAGCAGCAAGAATTAATCCTTTTTAATTGCCTGTTAATTCGCTGTCACAGATTTTTCATTTGACCAGCGATCAAATGGAAATGTCTGTGATGCAATTTTTTCAAAGGCATTCTCATTTCAGGTCATTAAATCAGCTGCAGGCAAATCGTACCAAAGCAAAAAAAATTAAGAAATTCGAATGGAAAGACGAAATTGTAGAGTTGGTAATTGACCTGTGGCAAAATCAGCCATTGTTATTGGATGCCAGTCATCCCAACTACCATGTAAAAGAAAAATGGAGAAACTGCATCAATGCAGTCATCGCGTCGTTAGACGATCAATCAGTAACACCACTACCAACTTATGAAGAGGTTCAGCGAAAGCTGAATGCATTAAGAACGTACTACGTCGCTGAAAAAAACAAAATTGAACAGATGAAAGTAAGAGGAGCTGGAACTGCCGATATCTATAGAAGTAGGTGGCAATTTTTTATCATTTTTGTCCGACAATGTTACGCCAAAAGCCACAATTTCAAATGTTGGAAAGCGACCAAGGTCTGAGAGTGATGACGAGGGCGGTAAATTTGCGCACAGTATTGGGGCGAAGCGATCTGCCAAAACTGCTAAACAAGCAGATTCCCAAGTAAACCAGCTGATTGAAAGAGCCATCAACGTTTTGGATAGGCCAAAAGAAACCCCCAAACAACAGGAGGCGGCAAAGTCTGCTGACAGAGTGTTCCCAGAAATGTTAGGTGGTATGCTGAAAAACAATACAAGAGAGGATTTTTTGAAAATGGAGCTGCAATTGCTTATTTACGAGACGAAGTATATGAGCCAAAACAGAGGCATGCAACCAAGCTACTACAGAAACTCTGGGGTCCAGCCAGGGTCGGCATTCCATGGCATGTTAGGCCAAGACCAGAATCAGCCCACTTTTCACTGCCCATCACCCCATATTTCAACCGGGTCAAACAACTGTTCCAGCAGAAGCGGCGCTGAAGACGAATGATTCAAGGAACTTTGAGTGTGATTTAAAACATTAGTATCAAATTGCAAAATTAACTGAAAATGAAACTTAAAACTAATATCCTTCTTTTGCTAAATATTTTTTTGCAATAATTAACTTTTATAAATAAGGTAAAGCAGTTCCATAAACGTACTGATGAAATGTTTCTATCAAAATTTATTGTTCCTTGTTAATATTATCTTTTACTTTTTTGCCATGATGTGATTCCATTGCCAAGGCACTTGCCCAGGTCCATAAAAATGATCAGCAAAAATATCACGCAATTCTGCAGCTTCCTTTGCATTATTGTTTCCATGTCTTCTTGGCGGAAGTGGTTGCATGTTTCTATCCGAATTCTCATCTCTCCATTGCCCATCGACTACCATATCGCCTTGAATTTCATCAGCAATTCCCTTTGGTGTGTATGAATCAGATGATTTTGTTCTCAGCATATTGTGAAGGACCAGTGATGCTAATATGACGGAAGTAGCTCTATCCGGGTGCATATTTATTTTCGTGGAGAATATTCGAAAAACGCTTGTTAGTATTCCAAATGCATTCTCTGTAACACGACGGAATCTTGAAAGCCGGTAGTTGAATACCCTCTTCCTATCTGTTGAACCATTTTCCGGGTAAGGCTTCATGTAGATATTACTCAAAGGGAATGCATTGTCAGCGACAAACACAAAAGGCACTTCTTCATAACTTTCAAATTGGGTCCAAGACGAATCCTTGGATTTTGGAAGTGGCCTAGTAGATTTAAAGCGTTTTGTGAAATCAAGGAAAACAGAGATGAATTTCTATACACACCACCATCGCTAATCCTTCCTTGGCACCCAACATCAGCAAAAACGAAGCGGTGATTATAATCTACAAAGGCAAGCAGTACGATGCTATAAAACCCTTTATAGTTATAAAATGTTGCCCCCAAATAATGTGGGTGATAGATGGAAATGTGTTTTCCATCTGCAGCAGCAAAAGAGTTCGGAAACTGCCACCTTTCTTCAGCACCTTTTGCTAAGTCAAGCCACTCCTCCTGTGATGCGGGGAAATTGAAATAGTCCCCTTTTAGTGTCTTGTATATAGCCTCGCAAACACAAGGTACAAATTTGCAGATTGTAGACTTGTGGATGCGGAACTGGTACTGCAGACTTTCGAAACTCTCTCCAGTTGCTGAAAAATGTAGTGTTACTGCAAGCTTTTCGTCTGCCTTGATGGGCATTCTCATGATCGTTGTATTCTTCTCGATGAATGGCTTCATTTTACTCAGAAGTTCCTGAAAACAAACAGTTTATTTTGTAATTTCTTTAACGTCATTGCATATAAAGTTAGCTCATGCTCTTTTTATATATTTCGTTCATATGAACGGAAGAAGACTAACCTCGAATGTCTCTGTGTTCATCCTTAGAAATCTCCTGAAGTCGCCCCAGCTGCTAGCCTCAGTTTGCAAACCAGGCCATTATATATGCCCCTTTCGTCGTGCCTGCATAGCCAGGGCTTTGTCCAACAACTCCTTTTCCATCTTTTTTTATTTTTGTTTTCATCACTGCGCAGACTAATAAAATAGCTGCTACAGCTCTCTTATCTTCCTCGCTCTCGACTTCCATTGACAACAAATCACTGATAAAATGCGAGCCAAACAGTTCCCGATATACCCAGGACAGCAAAGACTTGTCGGTGCCTTTGAAAAATTGAATCACAGACATTTCCATTTGATCGCTGGTCAAATGAAAAATCTGTGACAGCGAACTAACAGGCAATTAAAAAGGATTAATTCTTGCTGCTTTGTAAAACTTGTAAGGTCGTTTACACGATCACATTCTGTGATCACATAAAATATGTGATGCAAATGTGACCTGAATATGATCGTGTAAACTGGCCTAGAGAGCTGACGACTTTGGTATATCTCTAAACCGTGAAAAGTGCCAGTTGGGAAGAAGTGAGATTGAATTCTATCGATATAAATTCTGTACACAAGGCTACTGAAGAGAAGGTTAAAGCTTTGAAGAAATGCACGAGACCAAAATTGAAGACAGAGGTAAGAAGTTTCCTCGGCATGACTGGATACTTATCCAAGTTTATCCGTCGATATGCATCATTGACAAAGCCACTGAGAGACTTGACATTAAAAGAAACACAATTTCACTGGAATGAAGACGAAGAAGAAGCTTTTCAGAAGCTTAACGATAGCATATCCTGCCAGGATGTGATTGCGTTCTTCAATCCAAAGCTACCAATTATGGTCAGAACAGAAGCCAGTTACAACAAATAACTGTCAGCAGGACTATTCCAGAAGACCGAGAAGGGATGGCAACCAGTTCACTTTATAAGTAGAACGCTGACAGAGACTGAGAAGAAATACAGCCAGACATAGAAAGATGCACTTTGCGTAAAGTGGCCAAAGAAAGATTCAGCATCTACCTACTTTCCTAGATTCAGCACCACGTTTCACTATCATCACAGCCAGGGATGGCACCACCGGGGGGCTTGGGGGCAGGAGCCCACCCGAAATTCTATTAACCTAGCCCCCACCCCAAACCCAGTGTCGACTTCATTGAAAAACAATGATACCAAATTGCCGAAGTAAATTCGTTGAATCTAAATCCTTTTCGCTAGATCCTAGCAGTCATTGTTGGATTCCTTGCCATTGGCTGGCAAGGGAACCCCAAAGACACGTAGACATGACCTTCGGCTGTATTGATCTGCGTCATCAAGCCTTACTTACAACTCCGATAGCTTTGCCTGGAAAACCTCAATTTTCCCCTCAAGAATCGAAATTTTCTTCTCAAAGGCTCCGTTGCTTGAGCAATTTTCTTATCTATCATTGCTTCTATATTGCTTTCCAATTTCTCCATGAGGGCATCCATGTGATCGTTGCTAACAAGGCTTGAAACAGTGTTGTTAATTATTTTTTTAATGGTTTCTTCATCCATGTTTGAAGTTTGGATGGCGCATTTCAAAGGCATCGGGATTCAAAATGGTCACACTGGAGGCCTAGCTTGCCGCTCTCTGGATTGATTTGGAGGTGTATCGCAAGTAAGAAAGAAGATAGCTTGCTAAACGTGCTAACAATGCTCCATATAATAATTCATATCTTCTTCAAGCTTTATTTATATCATAGTCCGTAACAAGCACAGTAACATTATGGAGCGGCAAACAACATGACTGCTCTCCTCATTGTGTTTTGTGGTTATTGCTTCTCCACTCAATTGTTTAATACATAAAAAACTGTTTTCCATTGGACTGCTGAATGGTCCAACTAGGCCAGGATGCTTCAATGTCTTTATGATGCTCCTTTGTCTTCTTTTGAAAAGGGTTGCATGCTTCCTGTGCCTGTTGCTGTTCTTGTTGCACCTTGCCCACTCAATTTTCTGCCACGCCTGGATGAAGTCCTAGCTATGATTATTAGATATTTCAAATCTTTGCAATTGTCTTCAAGTGACACGCGAGCTCTCAATTTGCTGCTTACTATTGATTCATATTATCTTCATGAAGGAGGTCTTCTTAGCCATTGGTGGACGGTGGCCATATGCATTCTCTTGTCTTGCAGTTAGTGATTCCCGCTACTTAATGACACAATGTTCTCGTTGCCTTCAAATCAAATCCCAGCCACTAGGTTTGGGCAATTTCCAAGTTTTGAATCAACATGTTCTAATTCAAATGAATATATGTAAACAGCGTTGTTGTTTTCAGCTGAAATGATGTGCAGTAGAACGCGACTCCAAGTGACTAAGAATCCCTCCCCCAAACCTTAAGCAAATATCAATCTAAAATCCAGTCGCTAGAATTATTTTATCCTTGAATATGGTATCTTAGAACTAAATATTTACATTTTTTACAGATTGAAGATAAAGATGGCATTTCCTCCATCTATAATAAAAAGCCCACCAGGTTACTTAACCACCGCCTGGCACTCGGCATTACCTCATGGTACAACTTTTATAATAATTTTTGAAATTATCTCTTATTGTGTAATATTCTTATCATCTCTTATTGTGTAATATTCTTATCATCTCTTATTGTGTAATATTCTTGAAATCATATTATATTATTCATTGTAAAACAAAATTTGCTTTGTAAGTTTATGCCTTCTTGAAGACTGATTTCCTTTTATTATACGTTCTGTATAGACCCTTCCAAATTGGTGGTAAAACAACACAAGGTAATTCTTAACAATCTGTTTAATCAAAATGATGATAAGGACGTGTATGTGCTCTGAGTGCTCTTTTAGAGATCTGAAGATATTGTTTTCATTTTGTGCAAGACTGCTGATGTTATTTTAGCATTGATTTCCTTTGAAATACATTGCCACCTGCATAATTCTGTTCTAGCAAGTTTGTCTGTACAGTCAACTATCTTGTACACTGATGGAACCAACAAATTTCCATACCGTTTGCAAGAAAGAAGAGAGAGGTGGCTCTGGTATCCGTGGTCACCTGAACTGTCAGAACTTTGATACAAGGAAACTGCACAGTCTGGACAATCTAATGATTCCAAAATTTCTTAGCAATGTAGCCTGAAATGTGGACATCAGATCTCCAAACATTGTTTGTAAGTAGCATATTTGAGATGTTCGAGTCAATCTTATTATCTGGAATGTTTTTAGAATTGTCAAAATCAAGGCAGTTTGCTGTTGATGAAGATTCAATCTTATTTTTAAGGAGTAACTGTCTCAAAGCATATTTGAACTGAATTGCAGTTGGATTATTGTTCCAACCTAGTCTACTTCGAATTTTGGAAAAGTACATCTCCAGTTTAGAACATACTCAAATAGTGCTTCTGATCGTTCTAACAAGCCTATGCTGATTTTCAAGATTGAAATTGATGAGACAGCAAAACCGAGAATAAAATCCTTCCTTGGACCATTTACAATAGGCCGACCTGCTGTATCTTTAAGGGATTTTTGGGTCTCAATTCCATTCAGTAAGTAGGCTTCTATATCATAGAAATTTTCTAAGCTTATAGGCTCCTTTGTATGCTTTCCAAATTTACTTTTCGAGTTAAGATATTGTTCATCAGAAGAATGAAGTCACTGTTTGCTTTGCTGTCCTTAAATTCTTGCAACCCCAGATTTCTCAAAGAAGTTATTGCAGATGCCACAGAATGGCTTAAAGTCTGCGCTGCAACACTGACCTTCATTTTATGATCCTGCCACTGAATATGCTTTGTCTTGAGTTTATTTGCAAGACTAAGTATGTCATTTTTTCGTGTTCTATAGAGTGCAAGAACATACTCCCAAGATATTCTTTGTCCACTTGGGGTACAAAAGATCTTGATGGTGGAAAAGGCATTTCTTGCAAGCTTCAGCATGTGGCAGATATTAAGAATTACAAAGATCTTTTCATTGGGGTTTGATGGATGTGGAAATGATGTACCAAGGTGTTTTATATCACATCCAAGTTTCTCAGCCATGTTAACATTTTTAAAAGCACCATCAAAGATGACTGCATGAACTTTAGCTCCTCTCTCAGTAAGGAGATTAATTGCTTCACTTATGAGCTGTTTCAATATATTTGCATTTAGGTTGTTCGTTAAAAAGTACCCAATAGGGACATACCATGGCTTTTGTAGCCCTGAAGCCATTAAAACAAGAGCATTTGTTGCCATTGTGTCTGGTGTGTCTGCCTTGAAGTTGCCATAGTCAACATTGCCAACAAATTTAGAATTCTTCTTATCCCATTCCATTTGTTTTCTTATAGCAATTTCATCCAGCATTAGTACAGAGTCCTTGCCTGCTACAGATTCAAAGGTTTTTTTCAAAAAGCCTGGTTCACAGTCAATGTTTATAGACCAAGACCTTATTGTTGCTGGGTGTGGCAAATTAAGTGACTTTCTGATGAACTTACAGGCTCTTGGACTATAGAAGTGCAGAGAAATGGCAAACTCTTTCATTTCTTCAGAATACCTGGAACCAGACCCTTTTCTAAAATTCTGTGCTTCGTTTCTGAAGAGCTCTGTTGTTATATGCCCAAAGTTATCTGCCAACGACTTCTGATTTTCTTCAGAAAGCAATCTATACTTATGAAGCTGTGTCATGAGACCCTCAAAAGTTTTTGCTTTCCTAAAATTTTGTGATCTGAGTTTGTTTATTATTTTGTTTTTTCGATTAAGCTTTTTCTTATATTTGTCTTTCATTTTCCTTGATGAAATAGTTGATGCATAAGCATGCTTGAGTTTGACCTGCTTTGGATCAAGTGGTGTTTCTGCTTGCTTAGGATGTTTCTGCTTGCTTGTCTTTGGGTGGTGTTTCTGCTTGCTTAGGATTAGACCTTTTAACAGGAGAGGCTCTTTTCTTTGTACATGGCTTTTGCAGATGTGCAGGGATATTGAAAACAGAGGGGACAGCATCTTTATTCAAATACTTTTTACCTAAAGACTCTGAGTTTGGCATGGAGGGAGGATAGCTATAGTCACTTGGAAGAAAATGCTTTTCACAAATTCGTTGCGATGAAGAAGGATGCCATTGTTTATGACGCATTTTATGACACAATGTTTATGTAACAATGACTGATTCTGAAGTGGAAACCTGTTTAGAATTGGGCTCATAGTTAAATATATAACAGTATTTTTTGTACAAAATATATGGTTTGTGACTCTTCCACATCATTTGCATAATTGAAAACTAAGGACTTGCTTTTGGCTTTTGAAATTCAATTTTGTAATATTTGGCGAAGTTAACATTTTGGTCGTTTTATATACTAATAAATGAAAGAGAATTGAGCTCAAGATATTTGTCTGTCTTTGAATTTTAAAAAAATTATGAGCTGCTAATCTAAAATTAATATTGCTTAAAATAACCTGTATTCTACCCCCCCCCCCCACCCCTTACCGTTGTTCTAATCCTGTATAAAAACAGGATAGGAATGGAAATTTTAACCTATCTATGCATTTCCTCATAAACTCTTTACAAAAAGGGATATATGGTACCATATAGTTAAGTATGTATTCACTAAAATACATAAGAATACTATATATGCCCCCCTTTTTACCAGTTTGTTGGGAAATTTTGCTAGAATGTTATTTCTAACAAAATGTTATGTTATTTGTTGGAAAATTTATCTTTAAAATCCGAATTATTTCGTGAGATGATTATTATGTCTCTACCATCTGCTTGTAAACAAAGTAGAAATATCGTTGATGAAAAGCAGTTGATCAAAATAATTAATAATAGTATAATAGAATTTTTGGAAGTTTTTTTCTATTCAAATTCCTATCAAGAATAAAGAGAAACACAGTTCACACAAATGGGCCTACTAACTTGTGGAACGATATGTTTGTTTGACCGGGAAAAAAGGGCTTGGTAGTAAACCTTGCAAAGCATGGAATAAGCGTCCCGTACAATCGCGTGCAAAATTTTGAAACAGCGGTTACAAAACAGTTGTGTAAAATTTACAGAGAAAACGGCGTAGTTTGCCCACCAAGTATCCAGAATGGTATGTTCACGTCTGCAGCGATCGACAACATTGACCACAATCCATCTTCATCTACAGCATTGAGTGCTTTCCATGGTACCAGTATCTCAATTTTCCAACATCCGAAAATCATGAGAAGGCAGACACAACTGCAATTGGAGAATGATATCGAGAAGAGCAGTGTTCCCTTAGAGCTGCCAAGCTACTATACTGAAATATGCCCAACAAAATCGAAAATACCGGAATATCCACTACAGAGAACAAACACTGAAGATTATAGCAATAACGCGCAAAAAATGCTTGAAGATAATGGCTGGTTGCAAAATTTGCACTGCTGGGAGAGTTCAGAGGTAGAAATTCCTTTGTTCGAAAGAGTTTCTAGGTCGGCATACAATGCAAAGAAGCTGGAACGAAACGAAGCACTTCCGACAACACTTTCAACGCTCTTGCCACTTCTGAAAGAGTCTATCACGTCGACGGCCACAGTTGCCCATACAATGAAGATAGTTAAGCTCATATTACAGCATGTGAATCCCGGACAGATTCCTGTAATGACAGCGGATCAGCCAGTATACGCGATTTCAAAGCAAGTGCAATGGCTCTACCCCGAGCTTTATGGTGAGGGTAAGCTATTAATGATGATGGGTGCCTTGCATATCGAAATGTGCCTTCTCTCAACCATTGGTGATTGGCTTGATGGGAGCGGTTGGGTTGAACTTGTAGTAAAATCCAACATCAGCACGCCAGGAAGAATCGAAAGTATGATTCAAGGCAAGCAAGTTAAGCGTTGCCGTTACGTTCACCAAGTGACATGTGCTGCACTCTACCTCCAACTTGGCGATGTCTACAAATGCTCAGGTTCATCATTAACACTGCAAGATTGGATCGAGAGCAAGCGGGCAAAATCACCACAGTTTCACTACTGGGCCACAGTTATTGAATTGGAAGCGTTACTCTTAAAGTTAGTCCAGAGTCTACGTGAATCAAACTTTTCCATGTTTGTACAGACTCTTGAAGAAATTGTGCCATGGGTATTTGCACTAGATCACACTAACTATGCACGGTGGCTTCCTATCTCTATTCAAGACCTAAAGATGCTTTCCTCTAGACATCCTTCAATTCACAAAGAATTTATGGAAGGGAACTTTACAGTAAGAAAGACAAGAAAGGCGTTTTCAACTATTGCTGAAGATCAAGCTCATGAGCAGAATAACAAAGTTATAAAAATTGACGGTGGAGCGATCGGCATTCTTGACAACGAAACCGCTCTACTGAAATGGATGGTTGGGGGACCGGAAATTGCACGGTTAGTTAACGAATTCAAGAATTACGACGAACAAAGTGAGGATGAAGACAGAACTCCAAAGGAAGAGTTGCCACATCATGAAGACTCAAATTCTTTTGAAAAGCGTTTTCGAAAAGATGTTGCATCGTTCAAAGCAACGTTGTCAGAGATAGGGAATCCATTCGATGAAGGTGATATTCTATTTCAAATAATGACAAAGAATGTCATGGCTGATCCTTCAATCAAGTCAGTACAAAACGCTAAAAAGATCGAAGAGGCACAGTATCAAGCTTACGTCACAGAGAGACTGCTGACTTGCAAGAAATCAATCTACGAAGTTATACCGAAAAACAAACTCTCTCTATTTCGCAACAAGAATGCAGTGAAATTTTCAAAAGATAAATTGAAGGTGGTTTCTCTTCAGCAGGACCGAAAGCTCTATGCATCACTCTATGTTGCTTGTCAATCAAGGAACGGTGATCTGGCTGACTTCTTTGCTCACGAGAATCATGCTTATCCACCAGCAATATCTGAATATGGTAAGCTTCGTAAAGGCAATAAAGCTGATTTCCTTGCATTTTTAGAAAGACACGAATCATCAGACGTTGACGAACCAACTGGTGTAACTGCAAAGATAATAGATGGGGCAGCAATGGTTCAGTTTTCAAAGCCAAATCAGGTCAAAACATTCGGTGAATATAGCAAGGAAGTCTTTCGTAAAGCTGTCTTTAGAGAATTTTCCACCAATGGCATGCAGCGAGTCGATGTCGTCTTTGACAGATACATAAGTGGTAGCCTGAAATCAGAAACAAGAGAAGGGCGAGGTTCTGGAATTCGAATCCTTGTTAATGAAGCCACTCCTATCTGGAAGAATTGGCACAAATTTCTTAGAAATGACGAAAACAAAAAGGAGCTGTTTCATTTGCTGGCTGTCGATTTGACAAGCGAATTCTTGACAAGTCGTAGTTGCTACAGATTCTGAAGAAGTGCTATCATCAGAAGCAACCGATCTTACGTTTTTAACTCCTTGCAACCATGAAGAGGCGGACACACGCATTTTCCTGCACGTCAAACATTGCGCTGATTCCGGTCATAGCAAAGTCGCTATAAGAACTGTCGACACAGATGTTGTTGTTATCGCCATCTCATGTTTTCATTCACTAGAGGTTGAGGAATTATGGATAGAGCAGGGGCGGATCCAGAGTAAAATCTGACTGACTTACAAAATAGACCAAAAGCATACATGGGTGGGGTCAAAGGGTGGGGTCAACGGGGCGTGGTCAAAAGGCGTGGTCAAACAATGCGGTAGGCGTTTTTGTAAAATGAGTTATGAAAATGGTCTAGTTATATAAAAAGTTCAACAGACAGTATAAAGAGTTTTGAAAACATAAACATTAACAGGAATAAATGTGTACGTACTTCGTGGTCTTCGTTCGATGCGAGTTACTAACCAAAAGATTTTAGGTATAACGTCTGATTACTGATGAACAAAGCACGCTTTTTAACAGAGTCCATAGAATAGCACTGATTCCTTTATTCCAACTGTCTTTCATAGAAAAACTATCACTCGTGGCGTCTTTAGTACTCTCCAACAATGTCAATGATAAACTTGTCATAGCAGAGTCCTTTGCTGAGAACTGATAGGAACGGATAGTGCGGAGCCCATGAGAGAAAGGAAACAGAGAAGAAACCAAAAATGGGGAATCGGCATCTGGATTGGTTCGAATTTACAAACCAAAGGATCATAATTAGAAATTATTTGTCAAGAAAAGAGAAGGAGGTTCCCCATTTTAAAAATGGCAACCGGTCACCTTCGATTTGTATTTTTCTATAAACTACCTAGCTTTCAAAGGTAGTTTTTAGCAGACTGAGAAGCTATGCTTATCGAGCAGTGTTCTGGTCCTTCCTCTCGATATGACCAGACCTCGTGATTTCTACAACTGGAAATACAGATAAAAATAAACTCTCCTCAAACTGTCTGCATTGCTCATGTCAGGAAATAGGACCACAGACCCTTGAATCGCAACTCTATACACTCAACCATCCTCGCATCTAAACTGGACTCTATGATATTAAAGAACTGTTCTGCAATGAAAGGTAAAAATATGACGGTCACGTGCTTCTGTTTTTCTGATTGGTCTATTTCGATCCACAACTGGGTATATATTTTCCATTGTGTTCTTTCGGACCATTATTCTGACGTTTTATACTCTGAGGAGTGTCACACGAAAAAGCTTCGAAAAGTATGTTATGAAATGTTTGCTTTTCTCAAAGCCATTTTTAAGTTCGGTACCACCAAAAAATTGTTCAGATGAAAATAGATTGTACTGCTCAATACTGTCCTTTGCTGTGCTTTACTTAATAAGAATATGATATTCAGGAACTTTCTCCATTGAAAGATAAAAAAATATGGCATTGCTGGAAGCTGTCCTTTGCTGTGCTTCACTTAATAGGAATATGATATTCAGGAACTGTTCTCAGTTGAAAGATAAAAATATATTATATTGCTGGATACTGTCCTTTCCTGTGCTTTACTTAATAAGGATATTTGGATCCACTTTGATGTAAAACAAATTGATGTGTTACTTTAATACTTTGGTTACTTTGTTATGACTTCATTGGAATTCTTATAAACTGATAAATGTTCTAATATATTTCAGAAACTATAGCTTCATCAATGGTTTCCATATTGTTGTCAGTGTCAAGAATATTTACAAGTTTTAATCTCCGCTTATTTTTCCTTGCAAAATTATCAATAACGTTTTCAATATCTACCTTTTTATCCCGGTGAGTGTATGTTGTTGCTAGGCCATTCAGTCGTTCTAAGGTCATTCTACTTCTTAGATATGTTTTGAGCAGTCTAACAGAGGAAGCAGACCGTTCACAAGTGCATGATGTTACTGGCAAAACAGCCAGTATTTTGAGACAGGCGTATATTTTTGGAAATGAAATCTTATTGGTCATCTTCAAAGTGTCCGAAATATTTTTAGGCAGCTGGTCATCAGGAACATCTATCCAGGCAGATTCCCAGTTGTCTACCTCGTGGGAGATGAAGGATATGTCAGGCAAATCATTGGCATATTGATTGCAAAACGTCTCAAAATTTTTTTTTCACAGCTTATCACAGCGTTGGATTGTGGCTGCTTTCTGTTCAATGTTAGTTTTGCTTGCTGGTGCTTTCTTAGTTAGTGCTGGCTGCCCCACTTTCCTAACATCAGATAACGATACATCAGTGATAGAAGAAGCATATGTTCCATTGTTTACGTCTTCCATACCACTTTCTAAGGTTTCCTTCCAGTTTCGCTTTTGGCCACTTTTGTTGTTGTATTCTGCTCGGAGCATCCCAGGGACTATGGAAATTCCTTTTATTGCAATGCGATTTTGGGGAGAAAATCTTTTAGACAGCTCTTGAAGAAGATGGTCCAAAAACGGAATTGCGATATTAATTTTAAAATAAGATTCCACATCATTACTTGGAGCATTGGTTCTGTAAACTTGCCTTTTACAACTACGTGGCGCGACAACACTGGCATTCATTCTTTCTGCAATTTTCAAAGCATCATTAAACCAAGAGGAATGGTAAGCATCAATACAATCTCGAACAGTTCTTAAGGTCTTCATAGTTATGTCAACTTGCTTCAACCCTTCAATGAAATCAAGATGAGAACTTTGCAGCTGAATGGTTGCTGAACGTGTATAGCACAGGAGCATTCTAGCAATAATCAGCGTCATGATAAATTCAAAACTTTGTAGTGCAAAGAAATAGGTGAAGGCATCAGCAGAGCAATCGTCCCAATTTCCGTCTACGTTGTCACGAATGGTTCGCATAGCTTCTGATATTGGGATGTACATATCCATAAATCTTTCCAAAGCATCGATGCGAAGAATCCATCTTGTCTCGCAAGGATTTATAAGCTTTGTATGTGAATAGTTCTTTAAATGCTTTTTTACCATCAGTTCCAATAGAAGTTGTCGTTTTGGAGTATGAAGAAAGTGAGCGATTTTCCGAACAAATTCCATCATATTTTTAATACACTGCAGTTTGCATGAAGCAGCAACAGCAAGATTTAGCCTGTGTGAAGCACAATGCGTAAAAAGAGCTTGGTCATTAATCTCAAGGATTCGAGATGCAACACCAGAGTACTTTCCAGCCATATTACCAGCACCATCATAGCACTGTCCCCTGCAATCCATGATATCCAAATTCAAATCATTTGTAATACAATTCAAAATCTTTGTTTTCAGAGCATCTCCATCTTTGTTCCAGTGTCGCAAGTTATATACTTCATGAATCGTTCCTTCATATCTCCATTCCCATCAACATTACGTAGGACCAAAGGCATCTGTTGCTGATTAGAACAATCAGTGACTTCATCTGCTAAAATTGAATAAGGACCACATTCCTTGATTTCCTTTATTATTTGGTGGTTCACATCTTCTGCAATACAAGAAATAAGTTCATTTTGCACAGTCTTTGATCTGAATGTTGCATTTCGGGGAGCCGTCTTGAAATGTTCTGCCAAGATCCTATCACCACTTTCAACGCGAAAATCTAGAAGTGCTTGAAAATTGCCACAATCACTTGTATCGTAGTATTGTGAATCATCTCTGTGACCACGTAAAGGAATATTTTGTCTTGCAAATAGAAGAACACATTTGGCAATAGATCTATCTTCAACCTATTTTGCTGCACAGCTTTGTCTAAAGATTCATTTTGAATAAGATCTATGAATTTCTCTTTGCTTTCCATGACATTTTTAAACCTGTTCATCGTTTCGAGTGCAGTTTTATGAATTTCTGACTTATTTTGATGCTCTTTAATTCTATAATGCAGAAGACCAATCTGTCAAAGGGCTTTTCATCAACTTATCCAGTTTAGATGCATTTTGACCAGTTTTTCTCCCAAACAGAACACATGGTAGACAAAAAGTACCATCTAATAGCTTCGAGTATGCAAGCCAAGGATAATTTATGAGCCAAGAATATACAAATTTTCTGCTTTTTCCATGAATTTGTCTGCTTGGAAATGCAAATTTTGGATCTGGCTTCCAAACATTAAGCATCTTTTCATACCTCTCCATATCTGTCATACTAGCAGTATTCAGGTAAAAAGATCCAATGTCTGTCACATTGGCAATCAGATTTTGAAGATTTGATGCTGATGAAAGTTGGTTTGGTTCTACAGTTTCATTCTCTCTTGGATTCACTGATTCCAAAGGCATCTTAATTGAAACCTTTTTGGGAAAAGAAATCTTGGCTTGCTTTTCTGGCTGCTTCCATTTTGGGCACTGTTCATTCTTAGGAACAATAGTGGATATTACAGGTTGTTGTAAAGAGCCCTTCTCTGCCAGGAAAAGTGGAACAATATGGTTTGCTTTGAAGGATGGATTAAGGTCATTTTTACCACCACCTGCTTTGGACCAAAGTAGTCGGATTGGTTTCAATATTTTGACCAGTATCATGGAAACATTTTTGCGTTGCTTAAATTTATAGCATACCTTCTACCACAAGTTTCTGGATAAAAGGAAAATATAGGCAGACCAAGAACACTAGATAATGCCATGATGCAAATAAATGGGCTCCACCTCCTATCCTGACAGTTTTTGAGTGCCTCATGTTTAACACAATCAGCATAATTTTTAAAAAAACCTGTAAGCAAATCACTTGCTTCATGGGAAATTGAATGAGAAAAGAAAGTTTCCAAGAGGGCAGAAGATCTTTCAGAGGCAAGAAGTGTTGCAAAATGGGGATGAGAGGCATAGAATTCAGAATAGAGGTAAAGTTCAGCAGATGTTAATGCTCTCAGTAGATGAGACATGTCTTCTTTTTCACTGATAGCTAAAGAACAGGCATTGTACATGCAGTTTCCATCCTCCTTGACCCTAAACAACAGTTTAGCTTAAATTACACCCAAATTGAAACTTCATCAAATTTAAACAACCAGGGAGCCAAAATGAAATTTGCTACTAGAACCTAGTAAAAATAACATTAAATGGCTTATGTCATGTAGTATAACTAACAATGCCACTTGTCACCTTCTTACAGTATTTGAATGCGTGTAAGGTTAAAATAAAACTGCAACTTTTTAACCTTTTTAAAATTTGACTTAATCTGACCTTCAATGTGTTGAGGTCAATGGTTTGTGCTGCAGTTTCCTGAATGGGGACCAGGGTGCATCCCATGCAGTAAATTTTAGAGGTCTTTGGAGTGAAGTTAAGTTGTTTGGTATGGCATTTGTGTGAGATAAGCATCTTTTGGCATATGGTGCACACTGGAATTTTGGTGAAATTGTACCTGAGGGGCAGGGAGCTTTTTCTGTTAATTTTTTATGAACTCTAATACTGATTTTGTCACCATGGGTTGTAAACTATTGAAAATATAATTTCTTAGACAGGCTGAAACAATATGATGCCTGCCATGTGATACCAATGCACTAGCATACCTCTTCTGAACAAAACTCAAATTGGGGGTGGGTTGGCTGCCTGTTGTATTGCTTTCCATTCAGTACACTATTATAAAGGAAATCTGGCACAGTTTAACAATTATTGGGGGCTCAAGCACCCCTGCTTCTTACGGTCTTGCTCTAGTACACTAGATCCTGACCCGAACCCTACCAGCATGAGTGGATATGTATGTGACCGTCATAAAGAGAATAACTTGTCTTAGAATTATGATGGGGTGGGGCTGTTGGCGAAGTCTTTTGGTTAGATTTTTATGGCAGTGGACCTTGGCATACACCTGGCCTAGCCTTGGTGTACCTTTGGCATAAGGTTTACAAGGAATGCACCCTGGAATAGGGATCTTATTATCAAAACAAAGCTTTCAAAACTTGTTGAAAAAATTAAGGGCCCCACAAGATGAGAATGGACCCTCAGCCATTTGAGCAGCAAACTCAATCATGCATTTGTTGTTGCTGTTGTCTAAACTTAAATTTCCCACCGAAAAGCGTTAGGATGGCAAAAATATTATCTAGCTAAGATCTACCACTACCAGCATTACCTACTTGCAAAGGTTGCTAATTTGCCAAGGTTTTACAACAATTTCAATATTAAAACCATACCTTCCTGCGTAAGCAGTTTTTTCTCCTGCTATATCCAGTCTGTTCCAAGGGATAAAATGTTGTGCTGCATAGTCCCTCGGAAGGCCAAGAGCAGCAGATACAGAGATAGATGTTTGCTTCCCAGATGCCCTGATATTATCAGCGTAAATGCTATGAAGGCTCTCTGTGTCATTGGAGACAATTAGCGACTCAACTAACTTTAAAATATCCATGTTGTATCCGAAACGTAGCTAATTCCTCAGACACAAATACGAAAACCTCTGCCAAGCATTTGCTGTACTGAGATGCAGAAATGCTGGGCAGGAGGGTATTGTCTTGGCTTGGCTGCAAATGATTGGTAAGTCAGTGGAAGTCAGTGGAAGTCAGTCTTAAAATCCATACGTTGTCCGGACCCCAAAAAAATTCTCATACTAACTCCTGTAAAAATAATTGGCCTTATTGATCATACATCGCCTCTACTGACTTACGGGAACAATAGCATTTTTGCCTGGTGCAGAAAAGCTTTGTTAAAAGATGACCGCGCAGATTCCTAATTTATTCGACTGACTTACCAATCATTTTGCGAGTTTTGCCTATAGCATCTTTGTTCTAGTGATTTATGCATTGAGCTTCAGTGTATGTTGATAGGAGAATTCACTGATGGATCATTTTTCTACCATTCTCATGCCTCATTCCTGATATTATGGCTGATAGATCTGATGATTTGAGATGAATTTATGGAGAATATGAAGATGGATCAACACCGCATAATTTCCTCTTGTTAAACAAATATTTTTGCCGTTCTGGGACATGAGAGAATGGGTTTTGGGGGTCATAGTCTATCATTTTTGCCGCATCAAAAATTATTTCGAGTAAAAAATTTTGACTGACTTCCGTAAGTCGAGTAAGTCAGTCTGGATCCGCCCCTGAGAAGAACTGTCTTCAGAGGAAATAGAAAGTTTGGATGAGTCAGACAGAGAGAACTAAATTCTGGAAGAAGCAATCAGTTTTAAGCAGTGGATAGTAGCAGATAGGTCAAAGTTGCTCACCCAAACTGCATCCGTGAAAGAGTTCATTGGCCTTTTGGTGTGGACAACTCGACAACATAACAACCCATTCGTTCGTCGTCAAGTGACAGGCAAATTTCCTGAAGATTCTTAAGTAAAGATCAGGCAGGAAGAGGTGATAGTACTTGGGGATTTTTCAGAGAACATCAAATTTGTTGTTCAGGACGAATCTCAAGGTTACCATTGGAATCAAAGGCAATGTACTTTACATCCAGTGGCAATCTATCACAAATTTACAGAGCCATCTTCACTGGTTAACAAATCAATATGTTTCCTCTTGGATGATCTTGACCATGACATTAGCACGGTCTACAAGATTTTACAAGAAACAGTACATTTCATAAAGGAGAAAATCTCCCCTGGCATAAAGTTGATCCATTATTTTTCTGATGGCTGTGCAGGGCAATACAAGAATTGTTAGCATTTTGAGAACCTTTGCCACCATCAGGACGATTTTGGTATCAAATGCCAGTGGAACTTTTTTCCCACTAGCCACGGCAAATCTCCATGTGATGGAATTGGCGGTACGGTGAAAAGGCTTGTGGCAAAAGCAAGTCTTCAACAACCAATGCAAAACCAAATTTTGTCAGTTCAGGAAATAGTTTACTTTTGCAAAGCTGATATCAAGAGTATTCACTTTGAATTTCTCTCAAGCAGTGATATCAGTATCATAAGAGAAGAATTAAAGTCAAGGTTTCAGCTTGCAAGAACAGTTCCTGGCACAAGGGGATACCATCAGTTTGTCCCAATATCTGTGAATAAAACTGGAGCAAAGCTAGTTTCAGAAAGTAAAGAGTTTGACTTGACATTTTCTTTCACTGATGAGCCTTTAGATGATGAGCATAAGAAAAA